GATATCTGAAGTTTGCAAGGGCTGTTTGAATACAGCAATAGCCTTATATATATATATATATATATAGATATATATATATATATATATTTTAAACTTAAATTGTCTTTCGTTGATGTGCAATTATTGCAACAAGGTTTCCTTGTGGAAGTGTAATTGGTATTTTACCTTGACAAAGTCGCTTGTACATATCATTTCTGTTTGATGGTTTGCAGATTCTACCTGAAAAATATAGCTACTTTAGAAGGTATGATCAGGATACACATCACACCACAGACTGTGTCATTTGCATGACTGCAGTTGATCTCGCACAGCGTTCAAATGATTGCATGGTACAGTGTTGCGATATTTTATATGGTAACAAGTTGCTAGACATACGTACTTGATCTAATATCTTATTTCACTTGCAGGTGACACCGTGCGACCATTTCTTTCATTCAGGTTGTTTACAAAGGTGGATGGATATAAAGATGGAGTGCCCAACTTGTCGGCGTCCACTGCCACCAGCCTGATCCGTTCACTCTGTCTATATCACGTATAGGATCAACTGACATCGCCCAACTCACTAATCTTGGTAAATTCACTTGATAGCATGCAAGCACTTAAGTATAAATATGAGTTTTTAGGGGTTGACTGCTCCAACAATTTTCTTAATTTATACAAGGCTAATTCTTTACATACCAATTGTTGCTTGGATTTTCCCATGTGATTTGAAGATAACTAGTAACGTGAATTTTTAATAATTCAACTACCATAAGATGCCCTTTTCATCTTAAATATTCTTTTTGTTGAATGATTTTTTAGTTCCACACATCTCTTTCCCAAAATAATGTTCAACGTGTATTCATACTTTCTGCAAATTTATTCACTGGGTTTTTTGGCTTTTCATGAACTATTCCCACCAGTTTCCAAATGATTAGATGTAATATTTCATAATTCTGAATCTGCCATTCTGTATTCCATTTCAGGTTGGGTATTGAATCCATAATCAACTTGAGTGCACCTTCAGAAGAGGGATGAGATACAAATCAAATTCCTAACTGTAACTGATTCTGCAACTGCCAACTCTAGCCAATAATTTTTTTTGCACTGTTGTATAATGTATATCTTAGTAAGCAATTCCATAGGTGCAAATCCTTATTAATCCCATCAATAGTTGGTTCCCTCTGCACGTTTTCATTTTTAGAAGTTGGTTGAAAGATGAGTAATTGTCTTCAATCATGATTAACAGGAAACAAGAAAAAATGGCATCGGCTTTAAAGCTGTTTGTACGACATATATGTTTTGTGCATCTTCACATTCATAAGCAAAGTTATATTAGATTATGCAATTGTAAGCATTATTGTATCTCATGGAGCTCAGTCCTGAATGTAAGTGGTAGAAGGCTACAAGGATGTTGATGAACTTACACATGCTTGTTATAAAATCCCGGTAAGCCCTAAGATACAAGGTTTATGAACCTACAAATGCCGAGGCAATGCTTGTCATAGAATTCTGATAAGCCCCTAACTCAATTGAATCTTAGATCAGCTTGGGGTAAGATTTAGCTATAGCCAAATTGTGATGAATTGAGTTCTTTCTCATTGACTGTTTCCTTTCCTCTATGGTTAATCTTGTTTGTCACCTTGACTTAAAAAAATAAACCCTTAACTTGATAGTTGATTCGGCACAAACAGCCCTGCACAAGATTCTCTCCTCTAGACGTCGCTAGCACTAATTTATGATAAGCTGAATTTAGTTCATAATGTGGCTTGTTCACAGAGCTTGAGATTTAGTCGTTCGGGCTGGTAAACAACCTGTCCTGTTGAATTCAAGAAGCCAAGCATTATTTGCTTATTTGCTTGTCAAGGCTAAGGAATAGGCTTATTATTCTTTTTCTAGAAACGAAATTGGTGTTTGGCAGAATAGTTTTTAAAAGGTAAAAGTTTTCTTTTGGTCCTTCTAGTTTGACTTCTAGTTTGACGGTTTTACTGCTTTGGTTCCTGTATTTTCAATCTTGTCAATTTTATCCTTGTAGTTTCAATTTAGAACAATTCATGGACACGTTTCAATTTATGTTAAATTCCTTCAAATTTCGTTAAACTTTAACCACATGCCCCTCATCCCTCACGTGTAGGGGTATTTCAATTCACTTCAGCCCATCTGACGATCAAACACAAGCTGAAGCTCTTTTGATTCTCTTTAGGCGAGATTTTTGGGTTTCGGAAAGATTTAGATCTCCTGTTTAAAATTTGTGTAAATTGGGAAGAATTTGGCTCAAGTGTACCAAAATACCCCTCTGCGTGAGGGGCATGTGGTCAAAACTTAACGGAATTGGAAAAAATTTGACCAAAATTGAAACGTGACCTTAAATTGCTTCAAATTGAAAATACAAAAATAAAATTGACAAAATGGAAAAACTACAAGGATAAAAATTGACAATTAAAACTATTGTAAAATTGGCAAACTACACAGACCAAAAATGACGTTTTGCCTTTTAAAATGGGATTTGAAAATAACTTAGAACCATTTCGTCTTAGAAAACGCAAAAATAGATTTCAACGTTTTCGAAATTGGAGAAAATATCTTCAATAGTGAAATGTTTGTGATGGCCGATGACCCACAATAACTCGACATCAAGCAGTATAAAAAGGAAAATGCTAGGCTTACCACATTTTTCATACCACATTCATACCACCTCTCTAATAGAGGTGGGGCCCCATTGTATTGGTGGGCTCCACCTCTATTAGAGAGGTGGTATGAATGTGGTATGAAAAATGTGGTAAGCCTAGCATTACCCGTATAAAAAATATAAAGTGTTTCTTATAGGCTTTGGTTGACACGATAATAAACAGGTCGGTTTAGTATTCATTCACAAAACACGATAACACCTATCCTTGTAAAGTTTATTTAGGGTACATGCCCCCTGTGCTTTCAAACTTGTCTCAGATTACCACATGTGTTTGCAAACGTCTCAAAATACCCCCCCAACATTTGAAAAACAGTCTCAAGTTACCCGTTCCGTCAGTATTATTAACGTTCCGTTACATGCTTTGAGCCCCACTTCGTTTTAATCTTTAACCTCTGCGAATAAGGGTTTTTCAGTTCTAAGAAAGGGGGAAATTGGGTGAGAAGGGGAAATTGGAGAAGAGGGCTTAGGGTTTGTGAAAATCTGAGGTGGGCTTCGATTTTGGGAGAATCTGGATAAGAAATCACTGTTTTATGTATGGTGTGAAGCAGGCGGCCGGAGCCGTGTGGAGAAAATATGGAGAGTGGAGAAGGAGAGAGAGCTTCAGGTATTTTTCTTGGGTATCAGGAGTAGGTTTAGATGTAGGTTTAGATGTCCCTTGAATGATGAATGAAGTCATCTATTTATAAGAGCCTCGGGGCTAGGGTTTCGTAGAGATTGAGTCGGACTTGATTACATCCTTTTATTATGATAATATCTGAATTAATGGTATTATCTCATTAATTATGAGATAATACCCTATAATTAAGATATTATCCCCTTATTAGGATAATATCCCAATTAATGATATTATCTTATTAAATAAAGATAATATCTTATAATTAAGATATTATCCCAATTAATTAATTAACCAAATAAATAGGTTTAGTTAATTAATTTAAGGGATAATCTTCTTTTCCACGTGGCGTGCTGTGATTGGAGACGAAAATATTTGCTCCCACAAAAGCAATACTCTTTTTTTTTCTTTGTTGGGTGTTAGAAAACACAACCTAAGCCCTATCCATAGGTATTCGTTCCACTAGAAAAAACCCTAATCCTAAAATCATCCTCATCGTCAGTAAATGGCAGAGCCGGCCCTGGCCCAGGGCCACCAGGGCCACAGCCCAGGGCCCAAAACTGTGGGGGGCACAAAAATATGATTTTTTTAGCCTATGTATTTATTACATTGACCAAAAAAAAAACCCCCAAACTGTCAATGTCCTAGAAGAAAGTACCTGTAATCATTAATCATGGCTGCACCAAACCTCTTTGAGATTCTCTAGCAAACTAAATATAAATTATATAATATAATATTTCAAAAAACAAAAATGAATGAAACTAAACATATGGAAACAAAGAGTTCTTAACAAACAAACAAAAAAAAACCTAAACAAACGTTCTTATCTTAGCCAAAAAAAAGACTTGGTAGTGGCAGCAACACACATCAGAAGCTTTAGCAATTTGAAAGTCTTTTCTTTGTGTCATTTGTTTTTTAATAAATAGATGTATAATAGGATTTTTGGAAGAGACATCTTTGTTAACTTATTTTTCTTTTTTATTTGTTTTAGCAAAAAACTCAACAAAGATTCTTGTTCTTTACAATTGAAAATTTGAAATTTCGAGTTGAAGAAAAAAATGCTCAAAATCCAAATTTTACTATTCTTTGTTCATTAGTTTTATTGTTATTATTTGTGTTTTTATAAAAATTTAAAAAATGTTACCTAATAAAATTAATTTGTTGACAAATTTTTTTTTGTAATTTGGGCACATTCTAAAAATTTGCCCTGGGCCTTAGAAAACCCAGGACCGGCTCTGATAAATGGGAACATCTAATGTTCCCCTTCACCAGCATCTCCAAGTATATAAATCTCATGATCCAACCATCATCATCTTCACTTTTGTTATCATCCTCAAAACCTTCCAAATTTTCAACAAGTTGCATGTTTTCATCGCCAACACCATGTGGCCGACATCAATGTTGTCATACGGCAATCTCTAAGAAGAGGGGCATATACACTGTCCACTTTTTGTTCTCTTTACAACCCCTTCATTGGTTGAAATTCCCTTTCCTTTTTTTTAGCTACTGCAAAGGATTATAGCATCATAATAAAAAGAGATGGAGGAGAGTATGAAACGTCTTTTCTTTTTCTTGGGAGTACGAAGAGTCTTATGAATTAGGGGTTACTACAGGCTGAAACGGCGATGTAGCATGCCTTAATTCCCGCGCTCTTTGTGTGTGCATATTATCATGTACATATATATAAAAAAACCTTCTATTTTATTCTCTATTTTATTTTGCCTGAAGTTCCTCGTATAAGAAAACCCCTAACTTTTTCTCTATCATAAATATTCATTTTACTAGATTTTTGGTATATCGATTTTGAACATCAACATGTAGCTAACAAGTGAGGAATTGGTTTTTGGATTTTGATGTAAAAATGAAAACCATTTCTCTCTATGGACTCCATTGCTAATTTGTCTCCCTTCATTGCCAATCAAAATTTGATGAAAATGTCATGATTTTTTTATTAAACATTGTTCAAATAAATGACATGGGTGTGGGAACACATATTACGCAGGCCAATAAGAAGACGACACGTGGAAAAAGAATATTCCTTAGGTCAACTAATTATCCTAATTAAACCCTATTTAATTAGGGAAATTATTTTGATTTAAGATAAGAATATCTCCCTGAATAAAGAAACCAATTTCAACCAAATTTCTTGGATTAATTCCTATCATCTTTTTGGGAAGAATAATCCTAACCAAATAAAAATTATTCTCCCAAAACCCTAGCACACAGGGAGACTATAAATACTTTGCTACACAAGGCATTCGAGGTAATTCTAAAACCCTACACAAATTCCTCACTCTCTCTCTGTCTCGCCGCCCCTCTCACTCTCTCACCTCACAGGGCTAAGCACCACTACACACGGCTCCGACCACCCGGCTCTCCTAGTGAGAGAAAATTTCGTCTACTTTAGCTATTGTTGTATCTTTCTCAAGATTCAATTGAACTGACTTAGGCATCGGAGGGCCTTTGGCCAACAACCCCCGGGTGTGGTCTATTTACTCTTATTTATTTCGCAGGGATCAATGAAGAGAGAGAAGGAAGATCGAAGGTCGAGGAATCAACCCGCGAATATTCCCTGTGTAGAATGTTGCTCAAAATTTTTGGTGCTTTCATTGAGAGAACGAGTTATACTCAACGCGTGTTCTTGAATCAAAGGAATCTGCTGCCGTTCCTCCTCTTAACCCCTTGGCCCAAAGCTCCTTTTTGGAGCCCACCATCGCCGCCAGCACGGTCTTGCAGCAACGAGGACTGCCGATCGACTCCAGTAGCCACCATCCATACATCCTCACGGTCGGGTGTGATGCACAGCAACATGATGGCGCTGCGGTGCAACCTGACATCAATTCTCATGGCCAACTTGGCGCTGCTACCAATTTTGGCTCCGTTGTTGCCGTGCTCGACGTACACTCCTGTGTACACCACTAACAAAACCCTAGCATATGTGCAA